CCCCCTCCCGCCTCCCCACTGACTCCCCACCTGCTGCTCTTCTTCCCCTGCTCGGCCTGGGACAGATAAGCCCTATTTAGGGCTCTTCCGTCTTTCCCCGGAAATGGAACAAGACCTGGCCTCTCTTTCCTAACCTTGCCAGCGTGGGCCTCTGGCTCTGCCAACATCTTCCGCACCTGCAGCAACACCGGCACTAGAGCAGGCACCAACCCGGACCAGCTCTCTCCTGGACCAGGGCTGCAGATGTCATTCTTCTATAACCCAACTCACGGAACAGCGGGTTCATGCCTCTCTGGCTTAAAACCCTTTCTCTGCTGCCTGTTGACCTTAGAATGAAATCCAAAAGGCTGTCCTTCGTGGCCTGCCTGGCACCTGTCTCCCCTTCAAGTTCACTTTCTACTGCTTGCCTCCTCATTCATTACGCTTGCAAATACTTGGGCTATTTCTCAAATGTGTCGTATTCATTCCTGCCTCAGAGCCTTTGCCCTTGTTAATAATCCCTTTGCCTAAAACACCCTTGCCCTGGGTGTTGTCATTCGGTTCTCAATTTAGATGTCACGTCTTCAGAGAGAACTATTTTCATCATCCTCTATAAAGAACCTCCCTCCAAATCTACTACAAATTAGCCTGTTTTAGTACATTCATAGCATTTATTTCTATTAGCCAGTTTTTTTTTTTTTTACAGGATAGTGATTTAAACCAGGTTTTGGGCAAACTTTATTTCTATAGGACCAGAGAGTAAATATTTTAGGCTTTATGGGCCTTACACTGTCTTATCTACTCAACTCTGCCATTGTAGCAGGAAAGCTGCCATATGTAAATGAATTAGTGTGGTGAAATCCAATAAAAGTTTATAGACACTAAAATTTGAATTTCATGTAATTTTCTCCTGTAATAAAATCTTCTTCTTTTGCTTTTCAACCATTAAAAAATGTAAAAATGGCTGGGCACAGTGGCTCACGCCTGTAATCCCAGCACTTAGGGAGGCCAAGGCAGGTTGATCACTTGAGGTCAGGAGTTTGAGACTAGCCTGGCCAACATGGTGAAACTCGTCCCTACTAAAAATACAAAAATTAGACCGGTGAGTGGTGGGGGCCTGTAATACCAGCTGCTCGGGAGGCTGAGATGGGAGAACTGCTTGAACCTGGGAGGCAGAGGTTACAGTGAGCCAAAATTGCACCACTGCTCTGCAGCCTGGGCAACAGAGTTGAGACTCTGTCTCAAAAAATAATAAAATAAAAATGTAGGCTGGGCATAGTGGCTCATGCCTGTAATCCCAGCACTTTGGGAGGCAGAGGCGGGCAGATCACCTGAGGTCGGGAATTCAAGACCAGCCTGACCAACATGGAGAAACCCTGTCTCTACTAAAAATAGAAAAATTAGCCAGGTGTGGTGGCACATGCCTATAATCCCAGCTATTCAGAAGGCTGAGACAGGAGAATCACTTGAACCTGGGAAGAAGAGGTTGCAGTGAGCTGAGACTGTGCCATTGCACTCAAGCCTAGGCAAGAAGAACAAGACTCCATCTCAAATAATAATAATAAAATGTAAAAAAGTTCTATCTTTTTCTTTTTAAAAAATTTTTTGTAGAGACAGGGTCTCACCATCTTGTCCAGGCTAGTCTCAAACTCCTGGGCTCAAGTGATCCTCTTGCCTTAGCCTCCCAAAGTGCTGGGATTACAGGTATGAGCCATCACTGCCAGGGCTCTGCCTAAAAAAAAAAAAAAAATTATAAAAACTATTCTTAGCTTTCAGGTCATACAAAAACTGGCCACAGGAGGGCCAAAGTTTGCTAATTCCTGGTTTAGAAGATAGA